TTTTTTTTGCTATAGGGCACATGCACTCGCCGGACAGAGAGAGACAGAGAGACAGAGAGACAGAAAGCAAGAAATCACCCCCCAGGAGGGATGGCCACGCCGCAATCCCTTCTCCTCCATTCTCCTCTCGGGATCTTGGGCACGCACGCACATGCACCTGGTGTGAGTTTAAGCCACCGGGTCTGGGACTCGAACCGCGGTCGACTATGTGGGAGTCCAGCAACATAGCCATTACGCTAACTGCTGGTCCCTGGCCTGCTACAGTTTTAATTACAGGATTTCGACTTTATGCTGGCAGGAAAGGCCATACATATTCAATAGAAACTGTAGTTGCAGTACCCACGCAACCATTCTGTTTTTCCCTTTCACTAGTTTTCAACACATTACATGAGACAGTTAACGCTTTGTTCCAAAATAGTCTTTGTGTTAGATGATTTTACCCAACTATAGGTTGATGTAAGTGTTCTGAGCACATTTAAGGTAGGCTAGGTTGAGCTGTGATGTTTAGTAGGTTAAATATGTTCAATCCATTTCTGACTTATGACATTTTCAGCTTACGATAGTAAGTTTATCAGGATGTAACCCCATCATGGGTCAAGGACCACCCGTATACACACACGTGAATATACGCATGTGCACATGCACATGATTCGAAATACAGCAGTTACTCATTATCTAGAATCACCTTGCCCACAAAATAGCTCATTTCATTAATTTCGGAAGTCTGATGTATTCCCAAGGGTTCCTACGAGTTCTTGAGGACTAGTGGCATCCTAGCTTCCACCTCCTGCCTCTTCTGGATTCGTTTAGTTCAGCTGTCACCCTGCAATCTCCAACAGGTGTGGTCCCTGTCCTGCGCTAATGGCAGGGGGTGGGGATGGACCTCAGACCTTTCCATTCATTTCCATCAAAATAAAATAAAATGCAAAACAGCAACCAAAAGCAAAACAAAAATTAAAAGCCACTTTCATCCAAGGAATCAGAATGTGACTGACTTTACACTCAAAATTGCAAATAACTTCAATCTGAACCTTAGCTATATCCACCCTGATACAATCCCTGAGCCACTTCCATTTCCAGAATGTAGATGCACAGCCTCCTAACACTGTATAATGTTACAGTTTTTATTCTCCTCCTCCCTGCTTTCATACCCCGATCTCTGCTCTCTGTGGTCCTTCCCCACTTGCCAGCAAATTGGCTGTTGTTTTCATGAGTTTGACTCGCATTCTGAGGATCCCCTTTTCAGCCTTAGTTAATCAAACGTTTTTCTCAAAGACATTTCTTTCCTAAGAGAAATTCTGGAGCCAGCTATTAAAGGAGAATTTTTTTAAAAAAAATTCCTACTATATAATACTTAGCCAAGTCAGTTAAAGGATATTTTTTTTAATTACTCTTTCACTTTGACTCAAAAAAATTAACAATTTTTAAAGACTGTTCAATCTTTCAACATCCTCTAATAGTTATAAATTACCCTTCAGTAAGATCTTGTAAGTTGACTCAATCCTAAAACTTCTAGTACACCAATGAGAAATTATCTAAAAATTGTAGTTTCTTGGAATTTATAATCATGGCTATGAACTTTGAGCTTTATTTTTAAACGGTGAACGATTGCATTTCACAAACGGTTACTACTATGCATGACTTTGAAGTGAAGTGTTTGAAAACCTAAAGGCCTCCTATGCCTGCTGTGTTCTGTAAGGAGCAGAAAAAGGAAGGATTGGCTTTGCCCTTTTTCCAAAAAAAAAATCTTCTATGCAATTAGCATGTATTGTCATAAATTGTTGAAGAATGTTAGCTTATGCTTTAAGGAAGAAAATTAAACTAAATTCTGGTTCAGAAATCACTTCTTAGGAGACAGGCTGCTACTGCCCCCTGGGGGAGAGTCCCTCTGCTTCATTCAGGAAAACCAGCATGCTTGTCAGAGGAGTGGGTCCAGCTCCTTTTCCTTGTCAGATCCTCCCCGGAAGAAAACTTTAACTGTCTGCCCATGAAGTCAGAAGGCAGGCCAGATGTCTCTGAGTCCCTACATGCTTCATATACTTTCCGAGAGAGAGTGAAGATGGGCCAGAACATAACCAACCCGATCTTTCTACGTCTTACACACTAACACAGCACTTTGGAAAGTATGGCTAATACATTAAGAAGTTAAAAAATAAAATCAAACTTGAGCTTTCAGTAATAAAAGAAGACCCAAGTTTTTAAGGGGAAAAATGTATTTGACTTCAAGTTAGAGTTCACTGTATCCCTTTTCTTAAATACATTCTCATGGCCCGACCACGGCATCACAGAGGCAGGGACTGACTACACATGAAATTCGGGATTTTGTAGCAACCCGAACAAACTGGGCCCAGTAGCGCCAGCCAAGACACCTAGCTAATTGAGGCTGGGCAGAGGATCACAATGGTGAGACCCTGTCCAAAATACTCAGCCCTTTCTCATTCGCCTCCTCCTCCTTCTCTCTCTATCTCTTTACCTCTCTCTCTCATTCAAAAACAAGAATTAAATATGCCCTCATTGACCAACATGGTTACTATATAAGCATGCCATTGGTTTCATCAATTTGGATAAGATAATAAATTTCAATTATATGGAAATAACCAAAAAGAGTTCCCTTAGAGGATTTTTTGAACTAAATTTTAAACTAAAATTTTCAACTAAACTTTATTTTAAAGTTGGTATCTATCTGTTGTACATATGTTAAATATCTATTACAATTTCTCATGAAGCTGCGATAGGGTATTCATCAATTAAAATGGAAAAATCTATAATACTTGCTAGTTTCTGTTTACTACTTACCACTCTTTATTTGATAGATAATTTGTTACCTACTGGAAACACATGAAATCATAGAATTTAATCCAGGAAATAGAGGTTTCAAAAAGTACCTCTTAGAAGGTTAAGTCTCTCAGGAGAAAGAAAACAGTCCATGCTGATTAGAGGAAGATGACTAATCTTTCATGAAGAGGATGTCCAGTAATAAATTAACTAAAGAAATACACACGGTGACAGTCCCAGAGTGGCACGGTAACACACACCGTCAGAAGGCTAAAGTTCATGCCAAGAACCACTGTGCCAGCTCAAGGGACGTCTTTATGGAGAAAGCACCTTCAAGACTGGAAAAGTGAGTGTCGCAGCGAATGGGCTGGAACTGCAGTTTCTGAAATATTGCTCACAAGACTCAAGAGTGCAAAGGAGTCGACTGCATTTCAGTGTGGTCAACACAACTAAGGGGCCGGTTGAGCGGGTGTCAACGCAAGGAGTGTTCCAGTAAGAGTTTTGCTTTTCCTTTTCTTTTTGTTGCTTATGGAAATATGAAACTTCTTTGAGGTGTTCACATTAGGATCTGGAGATACTGGGATGGGGGCACTAAAGGATAAAAAAACACCCGTGTAATAGTTACAAGTTATAAGCTTGTAATAGATATGCAATATTAAAATGTCTTTATTTCTGAATCAGCAGACTGAGCACATTTTGCAATTGGCCAGTAGCTCTGCTTATCACTCTAATGAAAATAATTGATGATCTTCAAATGCTACAAGGGACAATGGTCTGTCCCAAAGTCTGGCTGCACTTAATCATTGACAGGACAGACTCTCCCAAGATCCTCTCTCCTCCTAATTGAGCTGCCTGATGTTTTGGGCCTTATTTTATTAAAGAGTCAACATCTTATTATGTTGAACCATGAGATAATTTATTAATTTTCTCATAATAGAAATTACAAGTAGTTCTCATTTTCATTAAAATGTTGCCTGGTTGTAAAAAATATCTGGCAAACAAAAACAGAAGTCTTCTTTGACATTACTCATATTTCATAGAAGAGAAGCATTTGGGACAAATGATTTTTTGCAGATGCCACTTGTGTATTCAAAGGGTGGGGAAGCAGGGCGGTGGAGAGTGTGGCTAATAAATACAGAAGGGCGGGTTCTTCTGCAATTCTCTTCCTACTTCAAGAGTGAGCCTCCCTGCCTCCTCACCCAATTCAGCTACCACGTTGATGCATTTATGTTTCTCCTACTGTTATCTAATCAGCCAGAAATAAGAGAACGTCCAGACGCAGCCAAATTTACCAGAGTTTTATGGGTTAATAAGCCGGCGACTGCGGGAGCACTCATGTCTCAAAAACCCAGCAGCCCCGAGTGTAGGGAGAGAGTTTATAAAGGCAAAAACCACATTTGGGTTGACATGATGGGAGCAGTGCTCATTGAGGAGGGGGAGGTGACAAGGGGACAGAGTGGAGATTCCTATGAATAAGCAGTTACGGAAGCCAGATCAAGCAGGTTAATCGTTCCTAAGGGTATGTTCCATCCCTACCTAAACACAATGGAATCTTAATGGCCTTTATGGCTAGGACAAGGGGTTTGGCGACTGATTATTCTATCACTAAGGAACATCTTAGGGTAGGGAGTTTGGAGTTATTTAGCAAGAGAGTAGGAATGTCAATCACTCTGTTTACTCTAGGCAAAAGGAGAAAGTGAGTTTCCAATAGAGAGGGGTTCAAATGGAGGTGCTCCTGCTTCACTCACACGCTCACATTACCTTAATGTAACTTGGGCTTCCCCCTCACTTTCCTGCCATCACTGCCTTCACCCCCTTCTCATCTGTATCTGACTTCCCTCTCCTTTCCCACGGTAAACTACTGGTATTATTTCCATCTTCCCTGTAGCCACAGGGGCATCTCACTATCCAGGCACTCCTCCACGTGTTAGCAAATCAAAGGCAGAACTTGGAAAGCTCCCGCCCAGGGAAGAAGCCTTCCACTGGGGGAGTGCAGCCGCCTCCCTGCTTATGCTGGGCCTTTACTTACCCACAGCATGACAGACCCCAACAAGATGATCATCAACCTGGCCCTCTTCGGCACGACTCAGAGTGGGAAAAGTTCTGCCGGGAACGTGCTGCTGGGCAGCCTTGACTTCCCTAGCAGGTTTGCTCCAGGTTCTGTGACCAGCGAGTGCAGCCTGGGCCGCAGCTGTCACCTTCGCAGCTTCATGCGTCGAAGGGGACAAGAGATCACCCTGCAGGTGCAGGTGCTGGACACGCCAGGGTACCCGCACAGCAGGATGAGCAGGATGCATGTGAAGCAGCAGGTCAAGGAGGCCCTGGAGCATCACTTTGGGCAAGAAGGTCTCCACCTAGCGCTACTGGTCCAGAGAGTGGACGTGCCTTTCCGCGCACAGGAAGCATCCTACCCAGTCGAGATGATCCAGGTAACACAAAGACGCAGTTACACTAGCGTCCTCATTCCCATTTGGGGAACGTTATCCTGAATGTGCGTAACGGGGTCCTCAAAGTACACGGAAAGTGTGTGTTATAAACAACTATGCATGGATTTGTAAGGAGTCTTACACCAAAGTAAACTCACTCTTCATTTCCATTTCCCCACAGTTTTTTTTTTTTTAATCTCCTCATAAGTAAACTGTTACAAACAGTTCCTGGAAGTTCCATTCAATTCCATCTCTTCACTCTCTAGCCTGAGCCTCCCCTGGGTAGCTGCAGGTCTCCCAGGCGTTACTCAGCAGCCTCCCGAGTCACTGAGCTAGATCGACCGTGTACCAGAAGATCCACAGGTAGACTACGTGGAGAAGAAAGGACAGATATTTTCCATTTAAGAACAAAGCGTACAGGGCCAGCCCTGTGGCACATGGTGAAGCCGTGTGTAGGGAGCAGGATCCCACATGCTGACTGAGGCTTGAATCCCAGCTCTGGCAGCTTGAAAAACATGCCAGGCATGCGGGTGTGAGTGCCCAAAATCTTGACAGGATGAGAAAAGGGAAAAAGGGGGATTGTGTTTTGATCACACTCCATTGGAAGGTACTTTCTCCTCTCTCTCCTGCACCTACATCCTATGGCCGAAAAAGAAGAAGAAGTTATGTAAGTGTTGCTCTCCTCTTTGGTCCAATGTCAGGTCGGGCATTAACAGGGCCTGTTACACCCAGAGATAATATACTTTGCTATTAAATAATAGAGATGTAACATTGTTCTAAATGACAGGCACGCATTCTGTTTTTCAGTAATTGTTCATGTTTCTAAAAATGAAGGGGAAGCCCTGTGTGTAATCACAAAAAGCTAGCAGAAAACATGAGGGTGACAAGAGCATAAAAAAATCATCCTCATCATCTAACTTCTGGAAAATCAAGGACGTGCTGTGCGGAAGTGAGGAAGAAGGAGGTGATTGCAATTAAGAAACAATATAGTATCTAAGAGAGCCATAGGCCTCCCCAGATTTTTCACAGCTGCGATTTAAACAGTTTCTGGTAGAAATCGGGTGGCATGAAACCCGGACCCATCACGTCAGTATGATTTTTAAACTGACTAAATTTGTTTAAGACTGTCCCTAAGCCCTCAGCTTAACTCTAGATGGGTGTGACGCAGGGGACGCGTGAACTACTATCTCTGTAAAGCTGTCCTGCCCTGCGTCCTAACACGTTTCTCCACAGTAGATCTATGGGAGCCCAAAAGGACATTTTTAGCCCCATACATTTTGCAAATAGATTTTTCTAGTTGTAGAATATGGAACAGTATTGTAATTGCCTCTTTCCCCTCCCTTCCTTCCTTCCTTCCTTCCTTCCTTCCTTCCTTCCTTCCTTCCTTCCTTTTCTTTCTCTTTTTGCATACCCGTAAATTGAATTCGTACATGACTCTGGTGTTTAAAACAGTATCTGCCGTGTAGCTTTCTCCACTTCAAGCTGCCTACCCTAAGTTGGGGTCCAGTTCAGGAACAGGAGAAGATGGGCAAGGCTCAGAAGCAGAGTATTTTCTCCCAGAGTAAATAACTTCTGCCTCCCAAGAAAGCTCAGCAGCCAATGCTTGGCAATCCTGAGTGGCCTGTGACCCAGGGAGGCGCTGCAGACCAGCCTGGTTCCATCAGGGCGACGGTCACCTCCGCACCGCCGGGTTACTGACGGCCTTCTTCCCAAGGGACCTGAGGTGGCAGTCATCTGTGTGCTCAGGGCTGTGACTACCGAGTACCCCACAGGTCCCCGCTGCCAGGAAGGAGCAAGGAGCTGTGCGGTCCTCGGGGGTCCAGGCTCACCCAGGTCTTATCCTGGCTGATGCAGAGTGGAAAATGTGGAGTTCGCCTTTGCCGCTCCCTTTCCCTTTCCCCTTCCTGAGGGCACTAAGGATGCCTCAGAGGGAGCCTGCAAGACCTGCAAGCCTGCAAGAGCCAGAGAAGTGCCCCCTCCTCCCCTGGACTTCCCTCTGGACTTGAAAGAAATCTCTCTTCCAATTCGGGCTTCAGCATTTGCCGAGAGGTCACGGGCTGTCCGCTGTGATGACTGAAACATTTCCCCCAAACCATCCTGCTTTCTTTCCGTATGTTAGGCCCTTAGTAATTGCAGCAAATTGATGGAGGTGTCCGTGAGTCATTGTCCCAAAACTGGGTAATTAGAGAATGGTTCATCTGAATGTTATCTGAAATGTCTTTTGAATATCAAAAAATTCCACAAATATTGGGTCAGAGACGATAAACTGAAGTCACCTCAGGGTAGAGCCGGGTCACGGCCGAGGTGCAGTGAGGATCGGACCCAGGACTTGAGCAGACTACCTGTCCACTGCCATGGCGTCACAAACTGTTTCCGAGCAGGCTCCACGGCGAGCCCACGGTGCAGGCAGGTGTGCAGACAGAGGGCTCGGAAGGCCCAGGCAGGCCCACGACAGTAAACGAAGACCGTGGGCTCCGTGCGAGAATGCAGCTAACAAGAGGCTGACCTCTCTGGGTAAACGACGAGCATTCGTCAAACTCTCTGGCCGTCAGTTCCTCACTGGGAAGCGGGGACCGTTTGACCTGTGTTAACACATGTGACAGGCTTAGTGTCGCACCGGACTTGCAGCAGATTCACAGAGTGATTCCAGGACTATTACTGCGGTAGTTGTACTGTTACAGTCGCCACCTGGACTGTAATGGACACTCGTTCAAGTAAGAGACATGGCAGTGCATGGTGGAGCTGAAGGCCATGGGCTCTTTTACCCGGGTTCGAGTTCCCACTCGTCTGCTCTGGGACCTGGGCAAGCAGCTTCTCTAAGCTTCACTGGCGAATGGAGAACGGCAAAAGCCGCTGCCTCACTGGGTTACTCTTGGAATTAACACCGTATCGGCATGACCGTCATTTAACTTGGCACTGGCACACGGTTAGCTGGGGCCTTTAGGATTTCATTGCCAGTATCTGCCATTTCGTAGAGTCAGGACATGTTGTACACATAGCCTTTTTGGGTCTGATAGGCTTTAGAATTTAAGTGTGAAATTAAATTTATATGACCGGGATTTACAGGAAGTAACTTCCTTATTAACTTAGAAAAAAGTTTCCCTGGCTTACTAAGGTTAAACTGAGAAGCCCCAGTGTGGTGAGAAGGGCAGGGCCTCTCAGTCTGGGGTCTGCCCTTACAGGACTGAGACTGCCAATATGAAGCGTGAGATTTGAGTTGAGTGGCTCTGCACCCCGAGGCTCTGCACCCCGAGGCTCCATGCTCTCATCAGTAAAATAAGGCGGTTTGCACAAATGCTCTTAGAGACTGAATATTCTCTGCAGCTTATCTACCAGGGTCTTATCATTCACTTTTGGCCTCCTGACCAGGAAGATGCACTTCAAGGTGGGATGAAAAGTAAAGGAATAGCATGAAATAGAAAAAAATGGCCGCTAATGTCCTGCTCCATGATCATTTTTTCTCAGTTGATGTAATAGTTGGCTTTTTTTTTTTTTTAAGTTTCCCCCTAAAAAGTCCAGATGCTATGATTTCATCAACCACAAACAAATGGGGCTGGGCTGGTGAGGTCCTGGGAAAACGAACACAATTCCTGGAAAACGCTTTATATCCTAACTGGCTGCCCCAGAGGGCTAAGTGGGCTCGTACCCACTAGCACTCTGGAACCAAACGTGCGTGACTGATTGTCAGATGTCCATCTCGCTCAGTACTGTATTAAATTATTAACACCAGATAACTTACGTTAACTTATCTTGCTCTTGGAATTTCATGTGAGGTATCAATCAACTGTGATTATTCTTTCTCGGGTCCATAGAGAACATATTTGGCCACTAGCACGATGACTCTACGCCCAGCGACACGAGTTTCAAATATTTAGCTAGTTTCTGGCCAAAAATCAATCTAAAGATTAAAAGCTAAATTAACCATTCTCTTCTGTTTTGGGCAATAATTCAAAAATGCAGTTTCTCTCTCAGTTTCAGACATGAGCACCCTTTCATAATTACCAACATGTAAAAACTTTCCGGTGACTAAACACATGAATTTACAAACGGCATGGAGCTTACACATCTATTATTCTTAGGTGTTTTAACGTGTTTCCCCAGAATGAGACTGCAGTGTGAAAGTGTAGGAAGTGCCTGGTGGAAACAAACGGGGTGTGATAATGCCACAACAGACAGCCTGGAACTACAGGGACTGTGTGGCGGCCACACCACTGAGCTCAGTGACTACTAACCTAGCAAAAGAGGCAGTCCGTGTTACGACAGGACGACAGAGAAGGCGGGAAAGGGCTGTGTGAGCTCAGGTTGACCTAGCATGCACTTCTTCGATGGAGACATTCGGAAAACATCTTATGACCAATACCGTCCAGGCATCAACCAGTAAGCACCCAGGGGGTAGTGTGGGGTGGCCCTCAAGGAGTTAAGGGCAGTAGGAATTTGCTAACTTGAATATAAACCTTCCTTATTATGGTAGTCAGTCCAACTCTATCAATGGTGTCCTGGGGACTGTCAGGTCTAGCTCTAAATTTGAGAAACTTCCAGAGAAAAGAATGATCACAGATCGACAGCTGTACTGGCATAGCGTAAAACCCCAACGCTAGACAATCTCCAGGCGTGCTGTTACATTAACGCCTTGTTCTTTCCTACGGGTTACTCAAGAACCAGCTCAAGGCATCAATTGCATGCAGGAACCTCTTTCCGATCCTCCCCTTTACCCTCGCTTCTCACCTGCCCCCCTCCCAAAATCATGGGCTGAATGTCTGCTCTCTAGGGTCAGGGCAGTTTCTGTCACACTTGCAATGACAACAAATGAATGTACATTCCTTCTTTCCTGTCCCGTCTCCCTTCCTCAGTTCTGAGTGTAATGAGTACCCGGGGATCTCCAGTACTTACAAAGAGAACGATGGCTGTCTAGTTCTGCACCGTGTCCCTATCTTGTAGGACACGCCTAGAACACAGCAGGATAAATATCTGCAAAAGGAATCATCTGGAATGCTCGCTAGAATTCAGACTCCCAGGCTCCAGCCCTAAAGGCTCTGACGTGTTTTGGCAAGCCTCCAAGATGATACTGATGCAAATGCCCCACGGACTTTTTGATCCCACAGCTCAGATCTGATGGACATAGCACTTTATTCATTTTTGATCACCTATTTAGTCCACTGCATTGCTGTACCAAAGTACCGCAAAATAGGGGCTTACACAACAGGCGTCTCTTCTCTCATGTCTGAAGACAGAAATCGAGGTCCTGGCAGGGTCAGTTCTTTCTGAGGGCTAGGAGTGAAGGGTCTGTCCCAGGCCTTTCTCCTTGGCCTGCAGTTTCCTTTCCCCCAGAGCGAGCTCCCGTACAGTGCACTGAGCACATGACAAGCCTCCAAGCTGCCTGCTGATTCCAGTAGGTCACAGTAGCTAACATGAGATGTTGACATTACATGGATACTTAGATTTACTCAAAAGTTACATCTTTTTTTTTGGAGAGGTTTTTGCTCTAGGGCGCGTGCACTAGCCAGACAGAGAGCGACAGAGAGACAGAGAGCGAGAAATCACCCCCCAGGGGGATGGCCACACCGCAATCCCTTCTCCTCCGTTCTCCTCTCGGGATCTTGGGCATGCACACACATGCGCCCGGCGTGAGTTTTAAGCCACCGGGTCCAGGATGCAAACCACAGTCGACTACATGGGAGTCCAGCGACATAGCCATTACACTAACTGCTGGTCCTAAGAGTTACATCCTTAAACATCTGGCTAATCAAAGTTTTGCAGATGAATTTATGGTTTAAAAGCACATAAGAATATATCAACCAACTAAAATACTTTTAAAAAATTATTTTGTAAAGTCTAGAATCTTTCTGTTAAGATTATTCTCTAATGTACAGATCTTGAAAGTTTAATTCAGATTTCCTTGAAGCAGGGCTTTTTAGGAAAATGGAAATACAAATATTCTATGATATAACTCGAACAGACAGGAAGAAACATGTTGGACCTGTTCCTATCCCAAATGTAAAACCGCACGTGCAGGCTACAGGCAAATGCATCCATGAAAGACACGCCACGAGAGGAGCTTGACAGGAACGTACAACAATGTGTCCTGCAGATAATTCACACTTCAAGACTAAATCCTCGGAGTAAAATCCTCAGCCTTCTATTTGAGATGATGAGTCTAAATTCCAATTAATTCGACAGGTATTTCTTGAGAGTTTACAACCTTGACTGGTATGGAGAGGCGGGAATCTTACCGCCAAAGAGCTCAGTGTCGTTACAGAGACGGATGGAAGAGTAAGTGACTCTGAGAAAAGCCAGACTGTACCAGAGTTACCACTGGTCGGGACATATTCCCGATTCTAAGTCTTTTGCCCTACAGTTTTCACACTAGATTCACATGTCCTGATTTTTCCCTTCCTCCCGTCTTCCTTCCCTCCTTTCCTTCCTTCCTGATTTCCTTCTTTCTTTCAAATTTTCAGTACTGTAAATACTAATCCTGTATTTGTTGTATTCATTGAAGTCTCCTAGTCTTTCCATTTTTTACAGCCAGTTTGTATACATGCATGTAACTCCACCCTCTACACGTCCGTTCCCCCACATCATAATGGAGGCAATAATTGTGTTTCCCACAAAGAAGCATACTGAGCTTCAAAAGAGATAAACAGCTCACGTGCTTAGCGTAACAGCTGGCCGTAAATACCGGGCGGCCTACCTTCCTGCCTTCTGATTATTAGAAGTCCTAGTATTTCCTGTTATGTTCATTCCCAGGCATTTTATGTTTTTCTTGCTCTTAGAAATGAGTAGCAGCTTTGGAAATCCTTTGGTAGTGGGAACGTTTGGAATGGAGGGAATACTCTTCTACTCTCACACTGTTATAATTTCATGTAACTTTGGAGCTATTCAAAAAAGCTAAATCGTTATTTCTAGGTAAGTTTCATATTGCATGAGCCATCTGCTATATGCTGTCACTTCTGCTTTCTATCAGCTAATTTCCACTGTTCAAACAAGAATTTATGACATAACCAACTTCCTCATACTGCAAAGGACTGCCAGTCTGCCATGTTTTTCACCAGAGAAAATCATCCTATACATGGTATTTGATTCTAGGCAAGTGAAATGAGGATGGGAATCAGAGTAACGTGTAGTTGTTGCAAATTACTGAAAGCATTTTGAGCTTAGCTTTTCCATTACACGTCGTCTGATTAATCAATATATTGTAACCAGATTATGTCATTTTCAGCTCAGCAGATGCTTTTAGTGATAACATTACTTACTACGTATATATGTATATATGTAGTTTGTATATATATTATATGTGTGTGTGTGTGTGTATAAAATCACTCCCCTGATCAAGTGGGGACTTAAAGGAATTCAGCAATTCTGCCAGTCAGGTTGTCAGGCAAGTATAAATGATTATTGAATATTTTAAATATATCATATTCCACATTGGTAACATGCAGTTTCGATGTTGTATATACATCAATTTTAACAGTAAAAAAAACAATGGGAAACTAAAGCCCTTCCAGGAAGCCCACCCAGCTTTCTCTGCTTGCTCACAATACTGGCCTTCTTCCCTTCCCATGCCACGTACCAGCTTGCGGAAGAGATCTGCAGGCTATCCCTACTGGGCCGTAATAGCTTATTTGCTTATTTTTGAGGAACAGTCCAAGACAAGCAGCCATTTAACTTCTTCTCTTTTTCAGGAACTTCTGGGACATGCTTGGAAGAATTATACTGCCATTCTTTTTACCCATGCAGAAAAAATACAGGAGGCTGGGTCCAACGAAGATGAGTACTTACGTGGGGCCTCTGAAACATTGCTAACCCTGCTCAATACTATTCAACACAGATACGTCTTCCAGTATAAAACAGCAAACTCACTCAACGAACAAAGAATGACAATCTTAGAAAGAATCATGGCAATTATAAAAGAAAATCATTACAACGTTCTGACCTTCAAGTAAAATTTAGGTGAAAGGAAACGAACACTGGGTATTGAAGCCAGAGACCTGGTTTCAGAAATCACCTTTGTTAGCACGATTACGGCCCGTAAGACTTCCCATGTGCTGCCGGTGAGAGTAGACACTGGTATAATCCCTCTGGAAACTGGAAGTTACAAAGAACACCAAGAGGCCAGCCCCTTAACCTAGTGGTTAAGGGAGTTGGATCCCACATGGCTGACTGCAGCTTGAATGCTGGCCTCTGTGGTTGAAAAACACTGGGCTCCAGTGTGTGCATGTCCAGTATCCGGACAGGATGGAGAAACAGAGGAACAGTGGCATGATGCCCCATTGAGACACATTCCTTTCTCTCTGTCTCTCTCTGATAAGTACAAGTACCCCTCTGGCAGTTTAAAAAATAAATAAATAAAAGTTAAAAAAAAAAAAAAAGGATTCAAGATTCTAATGCAAATACCCATGACACAGCAACTATCCTAAGTGTATTTCCAATCTTAATGGGCACACTTGGGCACTAAAAGACATGTATGTACAAGAATGTTCACCACAGCAGGACCAGCCACAATCGCTAGAAACTGGAGACTATTAACATGCCTGAAACTAGTACAATGGTTAAGCTGCAGTATGTTTATGTGATAACGAGAATGAGGAAACTCAGTTACATGTGATAATAGCAAAGAACTGCTCAAACATCATGTAGAAAGAAAGAAGGCCTACACCAGAATACATCCTGAACGATTTCCTATGCAGGAAGTTCAGAACCAGTCTGGCCAACGTGGTCTGAACTACTCTGCGGATAGAAGTGCTAAAATGAGGACCGTTACCCTGGGAGGGTCGGGGTTGGGGTAAGTGTGAGTCTGAGTTTGTACTAGGGATCCTGGGAGTGTTCTTCTAGATTTGGAGGCTGGTTTCATACTAAATTTAAATAAAAGTTAACATTCTGTTTCCCAGATTCTCATTAGAGAATAAGTCTGTCCACAAGCATCTGAAGGTTTTGTTTTCAATGCATATGCTCTTTTTTTTTTTTTTTTTTGAGAGTTTTTCTCTGTACGGGCCGGGCGCTCGG